CTTAATTAATAATTACTTACTTAATTATTTTGCACGATATAATGTCCCGTTTAATATCTTCTAATATTTGTCCATAGTGAGAGTAATATTACGGTACATACGAACTCTCGCTGCTACATGCTGAATCTCATGCGAATGATAACACGGCGGCTTTGCGTACGCCTTAACGCGCCGCCATCAAACAAATATCAAGAGTAAAAGATCGCGCGACACTTGCGCCAGCCTTGCTGTCGGAAGATATTTAATGCATTATAAAATAATTACATTTCAATTTTTTTATTTCTTTTTTTACATTAATTTTACACTAATTTATAGCGGAAAATTATTTTGAACCAGACAAGGTACTTCTTATAAATTTTTGGATGCTAAAAATGATGCCGCAAGCCAAATTTTTTTCTGCACGTCAAATTTCTAAAATAATTGAGGTTTAATATGCAAAAAATGTTTCCTTTTTTTTTAATATTTGAAGATTTTTTTATAAAGATATTAAAATAAAAAGAAAATGCATTTTATAGAAAATGAACAATACTTTTGATCAGAATTTTGTTATCATTAATTTTTTTATAACAAATCTTCAAATATCACAAAGTGCTATTTGTTTGCATATTAAACTTTAATTATTTTGAAAATTTGACATGCTGAAAAAATTTGGCTTGCAACATCATTTTTAGTAAAAAATTTATAAAATGCTTGTTTAGTTCAAAATAATCTAAAAAATATATATTTTTTTTAAATTAATGTTATCAATAGTTAATCGGAATTACGCGAAATATTATTGACGATAATGTTCAATAAATAATTGTTTTTTTCACATATTTACGAATACTGACTCGCAAAAACTGATAATCATATATTATAATAATCATAAGAGTGAAGTTTAAAATTTTTAGAATTTTTTAATATTTATTGCAATTGTATATCGAAAGATAATAGTATGACATGGACATCTCTCGCTGATATCGATTTTAAAGAATTTTCTTAATCATTATTTTATGCAATGCAAATGGGTCTCGAAACAAAATTGAAAATATGTGATAATAGCTAATATATCGGAATTACTTTAAAACCTAACAGTAAAAATATTCTGTATACATTTATCTCATAATATTACATAATACATCTTTAAATATTTTGCCTGTTGGCATGTGATCTTGATATTTTGTCTACTATCTGTTACCTGCCTTGGCATCGCCGGAAGAGGCACGCCATGTTTATTCGTGCGACTTATTTTGAGCCGGCAGGTACATAATAGAATGAGAGCTACTCTACATATCGCCATATTATCCATTCAATTGCGACTGCTTTTTATGAACAATTAAGAACTATACGCTCTCGCTTTAATTAGTTATTGCGATTAAACGACTAAATGTATGGGCTATTTATCAAAGTACTTCGTCCGAATTATTCAGTTCACAAGATCGAATGAATCGAAACGATGGGAAATGGAGACTGTAAATTATCGTTTTATTTATATTGGCAATAATGATTTTTTTTAACAGTGTTTTAGTTCGATATTTATTAAGCTTATCTTGTATTGTACTTTAAACGTTTTGTTAATTCAAACGTGATTATTTGTCACTTTAGAAAGAGTGGAATAATACATAATTTCGCGTTATTTGTGATTAACAGAAATAGCTGTTATTAGATTCTTATTCTGATTAGATCTTATTCTGATAATTAATACGATCGTAATTATTTGTATTTTTTTTACGTAAATGTTGTGAGTGTGTGAGTGCAACGAATAAATTTGAGAGAAAGTAAAGGTAGAAGATTTGAGAAATAATAAGATAACTACAGATGAATAAATTATTTTTCATTTTATTTATTTTTTATATTTTATATTCGAATTATCACACATAAATAAAATTTTCAGAGAAATCACAATTAAGAATATCTTGAAGAATATATTAATAATATTGCTTTATATAAAATTTTTTTAGTTGAGTAGGTCATAAATAAGAGAAAAATCAGTTTTTGAATTTTGTGAATGTTTATGTTGGACAATTATTGAAAAAAGAAAAAAACGAGAAAGAAATAATATTAATCTTACAAATAAAATACGACGATTTTTAAATAAAATTTTTAATCGAATTTCTTTATGATATTTGTCATCGTCGTATTTTATTTGTAAGATTAATATTATTTCTTTCTCGTTTTTTATCTATAAGATAATGAAAATATCATGACAAATATTATGAAGAAATTTTCATTATCTTATAAATAATGAAAATTGAATTAAAATATTTATGTATATTTATGTATATTTATATGAAATATAAATATTTTA